AAAATGGGGGTTTTGGGGGAAAAATGGGGATTTTGGGAAAAAAAATGGGGGGGAAATGAAGAAAAATGGGGATTTTGGGGGGAAATGGGTAATGGGGGTTTGGGGAGAAAAAGGGGGATTTTGGGTAAAATGGGAAAAATGGGGATTTTGGGGGGGAAATTAAAAAAAAATGGGGATTTTGGGAGAAAAATGGGGATTTTGGGAGGAAATGGGTAATGGGGATTTTGGGGGGAAAAATGGGGATTTTGGGTAAAACAGGGAAAATGGGGGTTTTTGGGGGAAAATGGGGATTTTGGGAAAAAAAATGGGGATTTTGGGAAAAAAAAATGGGGGGGAAATGAAGAAAAATGGGGATTTTGGGGGAAAATGGGGATTTTGGAAGAAAATGGGGATTTTGGGAGGAAAAATGGGGATTTTGGGAGGAAATGGGTAATGGGGCTTTGGGGAGAAAAAGGGGGATTTTGGGCAAAACAGGGAAAATGGGGATTTTGGGGGAAAAATGGGGATTTGGGGAAAAAAATGGGGATTTTGGGAAAAAAATGGGGATTTTGGGAAAAAAAATGGGGGGAAATGAAGAAAAAAAATGGGGATTTTGGGGGAAAAATGGGGATTTTGGGGAAAAATGGAGAAAAACGGGGATTTGGGGGGGAGAAAAGGGAATTTTGGGAATAAAAATGGGGGATAAAATGGGGATTTTGGGAAAAATGTGGGGAAATGGGGAGAAAATGGGGGAAAATGGGAATTTTGGGGAAAAATCCGGGAATTTTGGGGGGAAAGAAATGGGAATTTTGTGATCTCCCAGTGCAAACCAGTATAAACCAGTATAAACCAGTATAAACCAGTATAAACCAGTATAAACCAGTGCAAACCAGTATAAACCAGTACAAACCAGTTGGGTTGGGTGGGGCATCAGGGGGCGGCTCCGTCTCGAAGGCGACGTTCCCACTCTGAGGGGAGAGATCCCAGTAAAAACCAGTACAAACCAGTATAAACCAGTATGGACCAGTATGGACCAGTATAAACCAGTATGGACCAGTATGGACCAGTATGGACCAGTATAAACCAGTATAAAAAATCCCATTTAACCCCAAATTTTCCCCATTTTTAACCCTTGGAAAGCCCCAAAATCCCCTCCCAGTCCCTCCCAGTACAAACCAGTATAAACCAGTATAAACCAGTACAAACCAGTATAAACCAGTAACCCCAAATCCCATTTTAACCCTTTAATTCCCGTTTTTCACCCTTTTCGTCCATTTTTCACCCGATTTTCACCCAATTTTTTCCAATTTCCCCCATTTTTTCCCCATTTCCCCCTCCCAGTCCCTCCCAGTACANCGTCCATTTTTCACCCGATTTTCACCCAATTTTTTCCAATTTCCCCCATTTTTTCCCCATTTCCCCCTCCCAGTCCCTCCCAGTACAAACCAGTAACCCCAAATCCCCTTTTAACCCTTTCTCTTCCATTTTAACCCTTTATTTCCCAACTTTTAACCCATTTTTCGCTCATTTTTCACCCGATTTTCACCCAATTTTCACCGTTTTCCCCCGTTTTTTCCCCATTTCTCCCCTCCCAGTACAAACCAGTCCAAACCAGTAACCCCAAATCCCCTTTTAACCCTTTCTCTTCCATTTTAACCCTTTAATTCCCATTTTTAACCCTTTTTGTCCATCTTTCACCCATTTTTCACCCATTTTTCACCCAGTTTTCACCGTTTTCCCCCGTTTTTTCCCCATTTCCCCCTCCCAGTACAAACCAGTATAAACCAGTAACTCCAAATCCCCTTTTCCCCATTTTTAACCCTTTATTTTCCCACTTTTAACCCTTTAAATCCCATTTTAACCCTTTTTTGCCCATTTTTCACCCATTTTTCACCCGATTTTCACCCAATTTTCACCTTTTCCCCCCGTTTTTCCCCCATTTCTCCCCTCCCAGTACAAACCAGTACAAACCAGTGCCCACCTGGAGCAGCTGCTGCAGCCGGGCGGGCTCCCAGTCCCGCAGGTAGAAGAGGCAATCGCGGGGGTGGTGCCCGTGCAGCGACCCCCCGAGGGGGCACTGGGGGGAGGGGCAGCTCTGCGGTGGGGGAGGGGAGGGGCAAGGCGGGAGGGGTGGGGGAGGGGCAGAAGGAGGAGAAAATTTGGGGCAAAACAAAAAAAATTTGGTGAAAATCCGACCAGGAACGGGCGAAAAACTGAGGAAAATTGGGCGAAAAATGTTAAACGTTTTCTCCTTTTTTTTGCCCGTTTTCACCCAATTTTTTTCCCCATTTTTTCCTCCATTTTCCCTCTCCCAGTATAAACCAGTATAAAACCAGTACAAACCAGTACAAACCAGTACAAACCAGTAAAAACCAGTAACCCCAAATCCCTTTTTAACCCTATTTTCCCCATTTTTCCCATTTTTTTACCCATTTTTTCCCATTTTCCCCCAATTTTTCCCCATTTTCCCCATTTTTTCCCCATTTCCCCCCTCCCAGTATAAACCAGTATAAAACCAGTATAAACCAGTATAAACCAGTAAAAACCAGTAACCCCAAATCCCTTTTTAACCCTTTTCCCCCATTTTTCCCGTTTTTTACCCAATTTTCACCCATTTTTCCCCATTTTTTCCCAATTTTTTGCCATTTCCCCCCTCCCAGTCCCTCCCAGTCCCTCCCAGTCCACTCCCAGTATAAACCAGTATAAACCAGTATAAAACCAGTACAAACCAGTAACCCCAAATCCCCTTTTAACCCCTTTTTAACCCTTTATTTCCCATTTTTCACCCGTTTTTCGCCCATTTTTTTCCCAATTTTCACCCAATTTTCACCGTTTCCCCCCGTTTTTCCCCCATTTTCCCCCTCCCAGTACAAACCAGTATAAACCAGTATGGGCTCACCCCGGGCTGGTGGAAGGGGACCCCGCAGCCGGCGCAGAACTGGTGGCGGCACTGGGAGCACTGGAAATGCAAACAGCCGCCGCGGGCCAGGGCGAAGCGCTGCCCGCAGCGGGGACAGGCTGGGGAGACCCAAAATCACCCAAAATTCACCCAAAATTCACCCAAAATTCAGCCCAAAAATCAGCCCAAAATTCAGAAAAAAAGAAAAAATCGCCCAAAAATTGACCAAAATTCACCCAAAAATTCACAATAATTCGCCNAAATCAGCCCAAAATTCAGAAAAAAACCCAGAAAAAATCGCCCAAAAAAAGACCAAAATTCACCCAAAAAAAAACAATAATTCGCCCAAAAAAAAAAATTTTTTTCTCAGAATTTCATCCCAAATTCACCCAAAATTCACCCCAAAATTCACCCCAAAATTCAGAAAAAACCCCAGAAAAATCGCCCAAAAATTGACCAAAATTCACCCAAAAATTCAGAATAATTCGCCCAAAAATTCACATTTTTTTCCCCGAAATTCAGCCCAAATTCACCCCAAATTCACCCCAAAAATCAGCCCAAAATCAGAAAAAACCCAGAAAAAATTGCCCAAAAATTGACCAAAATTCACCCAAAAATTCAAAATTTTTTCCCAGAAATTGACCCAAAATTGACCCAAAATTCACCCAAAAATTCAAATTTTTTTTCCCAGAAATTCACCCCAAAATTGACCCAAAATTCACCCAAAAATTCAAATATTTTTGCCCAGAATTTCACCAAAATTCACCCCGAAATCCATGAAAATTGAATAAAAATTCACCCAAATAACTGCAAAATTCACCCAAATCCACCCAAAAGCCACCGAAAATTTACTCCAAATTCGCTGAAAATTCACCCAAAATCCAACCAAAACTCCTTCAACAATTCACTAAAATTCACCCCAAATTCACTCAAATTTACCCCGAATTTCCCCAAAAAATCACCAAAATTTGCCCCAAAATTCCATGAAAATTCACCAGAATTCTCCCCAAATTTCACCCGAAATTCACCCAAATTCACCCAAAATTCCCATTTTCCCCCCATTTTTCCCCCCAAAATCCCCATTTTTTCCCCCAAAAATTCCCATTTTTCACTCCAAAATCCCCATTTTTTTCCCAAAAATTCTATTTTTTTCCCCAAATTTTCCCCCCCAAAATTCTCTCTTTTCTCCCCCAAAAAAATCCCATTTTCCCCCATTTCCCCCCAAAATTCCCAATTTTTCCCCCAAAATCTCAATTTTTTTACCAAAATTCCTTTTTCTTCCCCAAAATCCCCATTTCTTCCCCCAAAATTCCCTTTTTCCCCCCATTTTCCCCCCAAAATTCCCATTTTTCCCCCATTTTCACCCCAAAATCCCCAATTTTTCCCCCAAAATTCCAATTTTTTTACCAAAATTCCTTTTTCTTCCCCAAAATTCCCATTTTTCCCATTTTTCCCCCCAAAATTCCCATTTCCCCCCATTTTTCCCCCCAAAATCCCCATTTTTCACTCCAAAATTCCCATTTTTTTCCCAAAAATTCTATTTTTTTCCCCAAACTTTTCCCCCCAAAATTCTCTTTTTCCCCCCCAAAAAATTCCCATTTCTCCCCCATTTTCCCCCAAAAAATTCCCATTTTTCCCCCATTTTTCCCC